TAATATCTTCTGTATTGTTACCGGGAGGTTTAACAACCTGCAGAGGAGTTTACACTCTGTCATTACACACAAATTAAATATAATGGCTTCTGGGTGCTCATTAGATTACGTATGTTTAAATTTGACTGATTTTAGGCAAAATGGATTAAATCAGACTCAGATATGATACAAGGATTCAGGATTTCCCCACCAGGGTTTCATCCTGACAGTGAGGAGAGGGATCTGAAAGAGCATTTAGAACACCGTGGAGACAGAGAAGGTATAACTAAACCGTTAAATAAATTAATTTAGAAATAAAAAAAAAAGACTCAAGACTCTGGACTCATGACTTCAGCATATCTAAAATCCTGGCTGCAATGACACTGACAGTATTTGCTCCCACTAGCACAGCAGACATTTCCTCACACACCCGAGCCCTAAAATAGCACAGTGTATATTTTTTGCTTTCATAACAATAGTATATGGCATCAAGTGGAGCAGGGAAGCAAACTCAGCAGCCACTTTTCACAGTAATTATCACTCACTACCACGCTCCGTCTGTGGCTCCGCTAGCGACCAGCATGCACCTCTGATCCCGCTCAGCACTCTCAGACCATACTGTACACACTGTTTACTTTGCCCTCTTCTTTCACCTGCATGCAGAGGAGCGTGTTACTGAATCTTAATTTCCTTCAATTACATTACATTTGCTTGACTGTAAGTGTGTTGAATTGTCAGCTAGCAGGCGCTGGAAAAGGCTATCATAAGAGGTAATTTATAATTTATAAGTACCACTCCTTACACACAATGTGCTCATTGTGCATATAGGCCCTGTTTATAGAATGACCGCAGCGGTTGTAAAATTAGCGGCCCCCGAGGAGCCAGTTGTCAGGCCACACGGAAGCTTGCTAGAATTATAATGATAGAAATAACATTCGGGTTTTTACCTGCACTGTTAGAGCAGCGCTCAGACCAGTTTGAAAGGGATCATCGTAACAGCAACGTCTCACTGTGCACAGAGTCACAATATTTCAGAGGCCATATATATTAAAGATCCTTCAACTTTTCCCTCCATAAATGATCCTCAGAGGACACATCGTCAGACGGCGGAGAGGCGGCAGAAACAGGAATATGGGGTGAGAGTAAGACAGACGGAGGGAGACATGAGAGCAGCACTGTGGAAAAACTGAACTAATACCAGGAAGGCCAGCACCCATGGGCTGGACCTCATGGGAAAACACTAGGGTGAAAATCTGAACTTATACATATCACCATGAAACTTTCCCAGTTGATGACTTACATTAAGACAATTACTTTCAACATTGGAATTTTTTTTTTTTTGGTTTGAATATGCAAATGAGGCAATATCTAATTAAATATGCACTCATTTGCATACGTTTCCAGAACAGATATTTGAACATTAGATGAAGCCAGGTTCAAAATTCTTGTTTCATTTTGTTGACATTGAAATCACAGGGTTTTTTTTTTTACAGAAGGGATTTGGGATATCTCTTCTTATCACTCCATAGATCAGAAAATACTGTCAGCAGCCGTGAAATAAAAATCATTTTCAGCATGTTTTTAGGAATAAAATGTCATATAAATCAGGCTATGAATGATATACAAACAAACCCCTCTGTAAAACCCTTCAGAATATAGACAGGAATAAAGCTGGAAGGTTTGGTTTGGATATGTCTGGCTCAGAGTATGAAAAGAAAAAAAAAACTCATTTATAAAAAGCGGCCTTTAAACATATGTATTGTAAAATTCCATACATCTTTATTTGAAACCACTATTTACAAGCACAATATCTGACACACAGGAAATGCACATGTTTGGATCCTGTAACACCATGCAGGAGAATGAGAGAGCTCTACAATGACACCTGTGTGTTGTGTTAGAAGGTGATATTGGTGAATTCAGGACAAGTCTATAGACGCAAATATACAAAGTCTTATAAAATAAACACCTAAATGTGCATTTTTGGACATTTTCTTCCCACTAGTCTGAAAGAAGAAATGTTATGGTAGTAAAATAGCCCAAAATCTCAAAATCGGCCAGTGCTTGAAAAAAACATGTTTTTGCCTGCAGTGCCTCACTTTATTATGAATAAAGAGTCCAAAGCCTAACACAGAGATGCACAATAACAACATCAATGTGTATACAATAGGTCTGCCATGAAAATAAAACGAAAAGATAAATAAAGAAATCAATAAAGAAAACCATTTTCTTTTCCACTCATCATGCATTTAACATACAAAACTTTTGATTGGTTCTCCTAATACTGAAAAGAATCTCTAAGGTCTCAATTTGCTGAAGGTTTTCGAAATCCTCCTGAAACCCATTTCTACTTTCCCCTGAAGCAGATTTAATATGTGAAATCAATAAAGAAAATGTAGCTTTCGCCTTGATTTACTGGTCAGTCTGTTTCAGGAATAACCAATCCTAATATTTCAGATCCAAGCATTAGAACTAAAAACAGCCTTTACATTCCTCTTCTTCTTCTTCTTCTTCTTCCCCTCCAGAAAGAAAAAAGTGTTGCAAATATCTAATGCAGTTTTTTTTTTTTCTCCACATGCTCTCCTTTTTAAGAATTCCATGTATTCCCGTAACACTTTGACAACCTCCACATCAACTTTTAAAAAACACCATGCACACAGACACGGACACTGCACATACTGTACAGCCCTGCTGCTGTGCCGGAAGCACCAGAAGTACATCTGTTCTTGCACCGAGGGTTTCCAATCAAGCTGCTGTCACGGAGCTTCTCAGCCACCTCTCTGGCAGCTCCCAGCTTATATCTGTCTCAACCTGTCTCCTTTGTCAAGAGTTCAGCAGGTTAATGAGCACTCTCATTTCCCACCGCTGACGTGCAACGGGATCATGAGAGCCAGTCCTCTCAGAGGCTGAAGTCAGAAAAGTAAAAATAAACTACAGTAGCCGCATGAAATGCATATACAAAATAAAACTCACTAAATATGTTCAAACGACTCCCAAGACAAAATATGCAGGAAGGGAGTGGTGTTACAAGGAGCGCCTGGGTAAGTGAGCCACTTTAATCACCAGTAGTTTCACACTGAAGAAGTGACTCTCCAGCGATTTGGAAATGTGTAGAGCTCATCAGTGCCCAAAAATAGCGGGGCCCATTAATTAGTCTCAAACAATGTTCTCCTGGTGTATCGACTTCTTAATGGACAGAGAAGGACCTTGTTCGTATTCCCATCTAGTCAATGACACAGGGCTCTCTTGGGTTTTGCAATGGGTATTATGTCATCTCACCCTGCCCTTCAGAAACCGGACCTGTGCTGTTTTTCATTCTTCCTCTCCCTCTTTTGCTCATTAACTATGTAGGAGTGAGATGAAGGTCTGGAGCGGCTAGATAAGGTTGCTCAGAGAACCTCATCCCTGTCTAGGTTATGTGCTTGGACCACCAATTTAAGCTTGTGTTACTCTTGCATGAGCAGCAAAGCCTCAACCTTCCCAACCAAAAAAAAAAAAAAAAAAAAAACATATTAGGACATTAAAGAAAAAATCTACCTTAGGTCTTTCCATGTAGACGTCTGTCTGCAACCCCCTCAAAGAAAATCTGCTCACCACCCCCACCCCCCCCCATCTCATCATGTCGTTTCGCCACAGTTCATTCCAGAAGGAGCAGACAGACCACCTACCTTAACTCATACACACTTGGCATCTGACACACATGCACAAACACATCGTGAACATCCACCCTCACCCTCCCAGCTCCCTTTGTTTGACAGACAATCCCACTCAGGAGAGAGCAGATTAAGTAAATGGCTTCAGGTGCTGTGGCATTATCTCAGCGCTCACCAGAACTGACGGCTGTACCGTGGTTTACAGAAAACATCTTTCACTGGACGACTCTTACTCTGAAGGGAAACAGGCTGAAAACACCACACTGACGGTTTCAAAGTTCAACAGAAACGACAGACTTCAACTGATTATATCACCAGCGTTCTGCTGAAAATGAAAATTGCCATTTCCTAAACTTCACCCCTCCATATTTCAAACAGGTTATTCAGTCCTAATAAATACTCCTCTGAGCAAAGGTCAAACACTATAATATCTTACATAGCTTCATTGGAATTTTATACCATTCATTATTAGAGGATGTGCTTATTTCCAATCCATATGTATGTCAAATCAATACTGACCAATAATGAATCATTTTCATCAGCAGCAGCAGCAGCAGCCACAGCAAGTGAATGATTGGAAACTCTGCCTCACATCTGAAGCTAAACGAAAAGCTGGAAGAATTTGAACTTAAAATTGAATTTGGTTCATGAAAATAATTACAGCAAATAATGGTGTAGATGTTAGATTTCACCTGCTACAGCTTTGCCATCCTTTCAGCACAACAATCGTCTTTTTGGAAATATAAAGCAACAGCCTGAACATGGCTTTGATTTCATTTTGATGTGATGTCAGAAACTGTATTTGAAGCACAGCAGCACTTCTTGATTCCCTCCCTCGGAGAAACAGATGTGTTAGGGCCAGCTGTGGTTTATACAACTGAAGTGATCCATATTCAGATTATTGAATGAAACAGTGCCGGTTTTGTTGCCACCTCTGCTCTGGGCATTTAAATATGTTCACCTATCAGCCCGATTTGAAGTAAGCTAAGTCCCAGTACAGCTGCACCTAAAAGACAACGGCTGGTAAACTCTTGACTTTTATTAGTATGTGATGTCAAAAAATTGTCGGAGAAGCGTTCATTTAAACTTTGATAGAGTCATTTCCCTCACATTGCTCTGGGAGTTGTGTTAACCTGCTGCAGGCCTACTTGCTCTGATACAGGCTACAGGCTGGATTTATCCTCTAATCTTTAATAAAGCCCAGAGCCAAAAGGTGGCTCAACTCCATTTCTCAGTCGCGACTGTGAGTAAACTGAGTTCAGGTGGTTCTTCCTGTCCACTCCACCCCTGCTGTAGCTCAGTTCACACAACTTTTACCGAGAGTAAAAAGGCCAAGTTCACAGGTCAAGAATATACATTGAAGTTTACCTTGAGCCACTCCGATATCCACCAGGAGAAAAACCAAAAGCCAGGACACGGTCAGCATCTCCGGGGAGGCTCTCGGCACTCTTCCTCCTTCTCTGTCAGTCTGTGCACCGTACCCCATGATGAGGAGTCAAACTCCGCTCTGAGGCAAGTCCGAGTCACTGAGAAATTGCGCTCAAACACGCTCGTTGTTGCGCGCTGCAGCCAAATTTTCACCCCTCACAACCCCGAGCGCGAAAATATCTTTGCAGGAAATATATCCAGCGCCGTGTTTCTGCAAACATACGAACTGTGACAGTTTATGGAATAAGCGGCGGGTGCATCGCCCTCCGTAAGGGAAGATGTTGCATTAAAATCTGTCTCCGTCCGCTTCTCCCCTGGAAGGCTCACTTGGTTTGTCTAGAAGTGTGGATCCGTGTCTTGATGGCCAATTCATGCTCCGGTCAGTCCCACGCCAAAAAAAAATCTAAGTCCTCCGGCGAGTCCCTCTCTGTCGCACCTTTCACGCGTGCAGGCGAGTGTGTGAGCCGTGTTGTGTGCGTGCGCCGCGCCTCGCGCTCCACTGACGGGACTGAACTAGGGGAGGGAAGGAGCCGTCTCTGCGGGCTACCTTGCTCCTTCAGCCAATCCAAGTGTTCCGGCAAGTGGTGGCGCTGTATCAAAACCTGGCCCGGACAGCAGCAAGGAATGGATGGCGTTTATCACGTGCATGAATGGTGGAAGCTTTTGGGTTCAATGTACTTGACAATGACTGAAGTCAGTGATGCTTCTATGGTAGCTTAAAGTGACCTGTGGCTTTCATTTGGTCTTTCTGTACTAGAGTCAAAATCTGATGTAGTACAGTCTCAACAGATTAATGAATGAATGAAATGAATATTTTGAGGAAGGTGTATTTATTGTATTGATTGTTATATTGATTGCCCTGAAGGTGAAGGAAGTACTGGGATCCTTTCCTCTAGTAAAAGTACCACACAGTAACACAAAGTCCTGCATTCAAACTCCTGCATGAGTAAAAGTACAAAAGCATCATGTACTTAAAGTAGTATGATAGCTCTGCATTCAAATATCCAGTGTCACTGACACATTCTTATACATGATGATTTTTTTGGGTGCGAATACTGATGCATCAGTGCAAAAGCAGCATTTAATGATGGTTACTGGTATTTTAACCATTAGATAAAGTTAAATGCTATAGTCCAGCAGCTCCCCAAAGAAAAGAAAAGAAAAAAATAGGGGTGGGGCTCCTACAAAGGGTCACATGACAAATCTGAAGGGTCACCAGATGACAAATGGGAGAGGAAAGAGAAGGATACACAAATCTTTACTTTTTTTCTTTTCGTTTCCTTGTTTTTTAACTTCTCTCTAATATTTGATTTTCAATTCTTCTTCTTTGAGAGTCATTTTAATAAAACCATCTGTTTAGAGGGGTCAGTCACAAGGAAAAGGAACCAGTATCTATAAAAGCCAAGTACACGTAGTGAAGTAGACAGTAAATATTTTCCTTTGAAATCTCGTGGGGTACAAATATAAAGCAGCAGAAATTGGAAATGCATTTTGTCCAGTACTGTACTGAACAAAATGTTCGTTATATTCCGCCCCTGTGTATGGCAAACAGGTGCTTCCGTTTGCTGGTCACTGCGTGTGTTTTGAGAACATAAATCGTCATTAATTTAGTGCAGGCACTGGAACAGGAAGGCATAATTTATCTGACTGGGCCCTGCACCCGCCCTTGTTTCAGCCACTCTAATTGTTATTTAGAAGTAATAATAGCATGTCTCAAAACCTGATCAATAATGAGTTCAACCTAGCAGACGTACTATCAACCACACAGACACAGACCGACACAAACACACACACGCACGCACGACTTTTGCTTTGCAGGGGGAAATTTGTTCCAGTGATTCCGATAAAAGGCTGATGAGTAATTACAAATGCATGACAGATGTCTAGGCAATGCCCCCGACACTACGTGATTAATGTGAAATATGAGCTTGACACTATCTCTGCACCAAAATGAAACGTGATAACTTAAAATATGAATCTAATTTAGAAGCATGTTATTCTCCTCCCCTCCCCTCCATCGCCGTTTTTTTTTTTTTTAATGTGCGCTTGTGTCAATGGGCAGCTGTCACCTTGCTGGCATTTCAATTACTGGTAGGATATGCAGGAAATTGCTTTTATTCTTGACTCAAACTCTTGCAGGTCAGGAAAGAAAGCCGCAGCTTGGGTCTCCAAATATATACAGTATGTACTGCATATTGTATACATGCACAGTGTGTGGTTGATGAGGTAGGAGCTCCCTTTACTATTTCATGGAAACATGGATTCAACAAGGTGCAGTAAACGCTCCTCAAAGAGGGTCGACCCACGCCGACTCCACAGTGATGCATTCATGCTGCTATCAACACATTCCTCATCATCCCAAAGGTGTTCTGTGTGGTCGAGATACGCAGAGTGGGCGGAAAACTATGGGAGGAAAAAACTGAGGTCGCTGTCGTGGTCTTAAGACAATCTTGAAGCGATGTGTGTGCATGTCAAATGGCGTCTTATCTTGCTGCGCGTATCCATGAAGAACATGAAGAAGTGTGACTGTGAAGGCCACACTGTCACCAGTCTGTCACATCACAAACCAGGATTTCTCAGATCATGCTTTTTTCTTCTTTTTCTTTTTCTTTTTTTTTTTTTTTTGTTATGCTCCTTGGTCTTCCAGTTCTGGTGATGGCTCACATAGCCTCATTTTCTTTGCTGACTGGAGTGGAAAGTGGCGTAGCCCTCTGCAGCTTCAGCCCATCCAATTCAAGGTTAAATGATGTGTGCTTTCTGAGATGTCCTTCTGCACGTTTGTGTTGTACTGCTGTCGGTTATTTTTGGCCTATAAACTCGAACAAGTTTTGCCATTTTCCTTTGACTTGCAGCATGGATTCTGTCTCATTGTGCTGTGAATTGTTCAGTTAAGTAGAAAGACAGAGGAATTACTTTTGGATTCTAACTCATTTCAGCTGATTATGGGCATGCCCTCTTTTAATTCATTTACCTCTCACTGACATTAGACATTTAGAAAGAGTTGAATTTAAAATTTAAAAAACATAACCACTATGCTTTCTGTTGCTTCCAAGAGAATTGCGCTGAATCAATCATATTTCTGTACTGTCTCTTGCTTCCTCTAAAGCTGTTAGGTTTTTAAATTGTGTTTACATTTCTTATTAATTGCATCTCAATGCCAGTGAGCGGCACACTATATGGCAGTTAATGTATCTAGTCTCAAGGAGTGAGAGGTTTTCTTTTTTTTTTCTGTGCAGAATGAATAAGAGAAAGAGGGAAGATGTTTTTTATGGAGAAGAGGGAAACACTCATGTAACCTTAAACACTTATTTCTGACCTGTGTAAGCTCTTGAGAGGGGCTATGGCGTGTGTGCCAGGAGTGGTATGACAGAAATACTAAGGTGTAAATGAACCCCCCCCCCATCCCCCCACCCCACCAGCCTCCCACCACCCGGATTGTTAACATGCCCCTTTCAGCAAATGACTCCCCTCTCATGCACACCTTTATCAGAGAAAAAAAAAAAAAGAAGCATTTTGGCCCACATGACTGCTGCCAGATGGATGTTTTAGTCTCGCAAGAAACTTGACACTGTAGTGCATGACAATCCCGAGAGGGCAGGCATGTCTGAGATGCTGGAAGTGGAGTGTCTGGACCAAACAACCACAGCAAGCTAAAAGTCACTTCAATCAAACATCTTACCCATTTTGGCTTTCAGTTTAAGAGCAACTGAACCCTTGAGCTTTATCTGCATGCTTTATAACTATGCTTTATTTACGCATGACTCACCGTCTGAGTCACTTAGTTCTTTGCTTAAAATGGGAGGCAACCTTGGAAGATGGATACAGAGTGTGTATATTTTTTTATTTATTTTTTCGAAAAAATGTTACAAAAAAAAAAGTGTGAAATCCCAGGCTCATCCTTTTGAATTTGTATTATGTGTGAAAAGCATAATATTCTCTAATTTTTGTGCATGACTTAGGCTATTTAAGAACAAAAGCAAAAGTGTGTCGTTCAAATGAGAAGGAGTGCAAAGCTGTATTGTGGTAGCCAATCAGGGGATCTACAAGGATATAAATAGCTCTACCCAAGTCAGAAGTTAGGGAGATAGCACGTACCTTTCAGACATACTTTTACTAACCTTTGCTGACATTCATCAGAATGGTTTGAGTGGGAGACATTAGTGGAAGTGCTTCTCTGTGCCAATCTTCTCTGCTTTTAGCCACATAGAAATGGCAATATTGTTCAGTCAGTCCACCACTTTGGTCCAGACTGAAATATCTCAACAACTAGATTGCTATGAAATTTTCTACATGGTCCCTAGAGGATAAATCCTACTGACGTTGGTGACCCCCTTACTTTTTCATCTGAGGCCACCGGCGGGTCAAAGTTGCCATTTATCCTGTGAAATACCTACTTGATGAAAAAGAAAAAAAAAATAGAATTACCGCCCCGTGGTTGTATGCCTCTGCCAAATTACCAGCCAAGTTACAGGAAATATGGTCACAATCCCCCTTTCCTGAGTTGCAGCTTTGAATAATGGCCAAAAGTGTTTGATGTCACAGTGAAGCTGACCTTTGACTATTTAGATATAAACTGTCATCACTTCATCATGTTTTCCAATTAGATATTTGTTTTAAATTGTGTCATATTTAGTGTATGAATTCATGAGTTATGACCAAAAATGTGTTATGTGATGTCACAGTGACCTTGACCTTTGACCACAAAAGTCTAATCAGACCATCTTTGAGTCCAAGTTTGTACCAAACCTGAAGAAATTCCCTCAATGCGGTCTTGAGATATCACATTTAAGAGGCCAAAAATGTGCTTTGTGAGGTCACAGTAACCTTGACCTTTGACTACCAAAATCGAATCGGTTCATCCTTCAGTCCAAATGCACATTTGTGCCAAATTTGAAGGGATTCCCTTGAGGAGTTCCCGAGATATTGTGTTCCCTAGGCCAAAACCGTGAGGTCACAGTGAGCGTGACTTTTGACCTTTGACCACCAAAATCTATTCAGTTCATCCTTGAGTCCATTTAAATGTTTGTGCCAAATTTGAAGAAATTCCCCTGAGCTATCGCGTTCACAAGAATGGGACGGACAGGTGGACAATGCAAAAACATACTGCCTCTTGCCCTGGCTGTCACTGGTGCAGAAAAAAATGCAGATAGGAGGTTGACATCCCTGGTTATTAGTGACATTTCTCATCAACTACTGGATAGATTGGCATGACATGTGGTACAAACCTCTATGTCCTGCACAGGAGGAATTGTAATAACTTTGGTGATCCCCTGACTTTTCCTCTAGTGCATCAGCTCGTCCGCCTGCAAAACCTATTCTCATCAGCCCCAGCTGTACTTTGTGTATTGTGCTACTAAATGTTAGCGTGCTATCATGCTAATCTTGGATGGTGACCATGGTAAACATTATACCTGCTAAAAGTGTACATGTTAGCATGCTGATGT